ATAAGACGTTCATTGTTCACTGGGGTGTTCCTCTACTCTGGGGGGAGGGGGTGGGGAGGGGTGGGGGAGGGGGTGGGGGGAGGGGGTGGGGGAGGTGGAAGAGAGAGGTGGAGCGGACTGAGAGAGAGAGGGGAACTACTGTGACGCGCAAGAATGAGGTATGATTGATGGGCATGGGGGAGGTGTGGGGGAGGTGGGGGGAGGTGAGGGGTAGGGAGGGGGGAGGGGGAGGGGAGGTGTGTAGGTGGGGAGGTGGGGGAGGTGTGTAGGGGAGGTGTAGGGGGGAGGGGGAGGTGTAGGTGGGGGAGGTGTGGTGGGGAGGGGAGGGGTGAGGGGTAGTGGGGGAAGGTAAAGGGTGGGTAGGAGGGGAGGTGTGGGGAGGAGGTGTAGGGGGAGGGAGGGGGTGGGAGGGGAGGTGAAGGTGGGGAAGAGGGAGGTGTGTAGGGTGGGGAGGTGTGTAGGTGGGGGAGGAGGTGTAGGTGGGGAGGTGAGGTGGGGTAGGTGGGGGAGGGGAGGTGGTGGGGGAGGGAGGTGTGTAGGTGGGGAGGAGGTGTAGGTGGGGGAGGGGAGGTGGTGGGAGGTGTAGGTGAGGGAGGTGTGGGGGAGGTGTGTGGGTGGGGGGAGGGAGGTTTAGGTGGGGGGAGGTGGGGAGGTGTGTAGGTGGGGAGGTGGTGAGGTGTGGGGGAGGTAGGTGGGGGAGGTGGGGAGGTGGGAGGAGTGGAGTAGGTGGGGAGGTGTGTAGGTGGGGGGAGGTGTAGGAGGGGGAGGTGTGTAGGTGGGGAGGTGGGTGGGGAGTGAGGAGTGTGGAGGTGGGGGAGGGAGGTGGGGGGAGGTGTGGGGTGGGGGAGGTAGGAGGGGGAGGTAGGTGGGGGGAGGTGTAGGGGAGGTGTAGGAGGGGAGGTGGGAGGGGAGGTAGGGGAGGTGTAGGTGGGGGAGGGGAGGTGTGTAGGTGGGGAGGTGGGGGAGGTGTGGGGAGGGGAGGTGTAGGTGGGAGGTAGGTGGGGAGGTGGAGGGAGGTAGGTGGGGGAGGTGGGGGAGGTGTGTAGGTGGGGAGGTGTAGGTGGGGGAGGTGTGGTGGGGAGGTGGGGGGAGGTGTGTAGGAGGGGGAGGTGTGTAGGTGGGGAGGGAGGGGGGTGGGGGAGGGGAGGTGGGGGAGGGGAGGTGGGGGAGGGGAGGTGGGAGGGGAGGGAGGTGGGAGGAGGTGTAGGGAGGAGGTAGGTGGGGAGGGAGTGTAGGGGGGGAGGTGTAGGTGGGGGAGGAGGGTGGGGGGAGGGGAGGTGTGTAGGTGGGGGAGTGTAGGTGGGGGAGGGGAGGTGTGTAGGTGGGAGGAGGTGGGGGAGGGGGAAGGGAGGGGAGGGGAGGTGTAGGTGGGGAGGGGAGGTGTGTGTGGGGGTGGGGGGAGGGGAGGTGTGTAGGTGGGGAGGGGAGGTGTGTAGGTGGGGGGGAGGGTAGTGTGTAGGGTGGGGGGGAGGGGGAGGTGTGTGTAGGTGGGGGAGGGGAGGTGTGTAGGTGGGGGGAGGGGGGAGTGTGTATACACCATGATGAGACATAAACTTGGGATGTGAAAACCTAAAATTTTTTCTTAAGACTTTGAGAAAGATCGAAAATTGTATCAAAAATTTTAAATGCTTGATGTTAAAGTATAGACAATTTCTTACTGAATAATACTAGTATTAATATTTTTATGGTGTCACCATGTAGCACGCGTGACTTCTTTATACAAACAATACTTACTAGAGGGAATGAAACCTGGACCTTTTGTGTGAACAGGGATCACTACCACCGCGCTACAGGGCCAACAAAAGCACTCCTAGGTTTTGTTATATTGCACACAAAGCCTGTTCATAGTGCTTGTTAGCTGTGAACCTCCATATAAATATATATAAATATCACCAAGTTAGTCGATGATGTTATAAGGCCAGGCAGTAATAATTGTCACTTAGTTATATGTTTAAGGTAGTAGAGTGAGCGTGTTAATCAGCACAACACTGACGAATTATAGGAGTACCAAAAAACCAGTGAGTGGATTGGGTCAAATGTAAGCATTTATATTAATTTTTTATTCTTCTCTCCTCTTTTTATTCTCAAGGGGCTGGGAGAAGGGGTGGGGAGAAGAGTATACTGAACTGCCATTTTTTATCGCTTTCACAGGACGACACTTAATACACCAACACTGATAACAAATTGAGCTTCAAAATGTGTTATTTTACACTGCCTCGACCTGTACTTCAACACATGAGGCGGTGGGGTTGGGGGGAGGGGACTATTCAGACCAGGGAGGAGGCGCCATATGTGGGGAAGGGAGAGAGAGGAATATAACTCGATATAGAGATAGATTGATTTATATATAGAAGAGGTAGAGAGACAGATTGATGAGATGAAGAGATAATAAAGGATGGAAATAGAAATTTACAGATTCATACAGAAATACAAGCAGGTTAGAAAAAACACTGAGCCAAATACGTCACACTTATAAGCTGAAGAGTTGATAGATAGAGATTATGATAGAGAAATGAATAGAAGAATTGACATAGAGAGATAGAAAGAGACTCGTTGATCCAGTTTGTTTGGTTCTTCAAACTTTATTCAACTCTTTTACCAACACCATGTCAAGATTAATAAGTTGGAAGATAACATTAACCTGTAAGAAGATAACATTGCAATAGATTAACGTTAACCACTCGGTATATTATAAAGTATCCTCACCACAGTATAGTTCGTGTTTACACTTCACGGCTATTTGTACAGGAAGGCTAAACCTGTGACATCTATTGGCTGGCTGCTGGCGGAAATGGCCCAATCACTTTTGCCATTGTTACGCCATCACCGACCAATGAAAGGTCAGGAAAGGGGTCTTCATAGCCAATTAGAACGTGACACTTGACTCCGGCTCATTTTCTGTCTCGCTCCAGAACGATTGAGTTTTATAACACGACGAATAAACAACCAGCGTTTTTTTTTTGTAATATAAATAAAATTAAATACTAAAACGTGATAAATGAGAAGCCAACACTGTTTCAACTACCCAAACATATCTTTGGTTTATCTTAGGTCTAGGTTCGTATGGTTTACCGTTTTCAGGGTCTGTTTCAACTAACACAACGTCCAGCATTTCTACCAACTACAACCTGGATGACGGGCGCCCTCTAGCGAGCCTACATCCCTATCCTGGCAAAGGTAAGGCAAATAGTAGCCACGTTAAAGGACAATCGCGTCACCGTGGCTACAAATTACCAACCATACTTCTCGGGATAAGTAGAGGCGGGTCTTTTGTAAGTCCTGATCAGTACTTCTCTCTGTTATATAATAATACATTACGTTTATGGGGAGGACGGGGGTCATTGTTTGATGAAGTGTCACTTGAGTGTCTTTTGTTGGTTGGTGTTGAGGATGCGGTGTTTTGAGTGTGTGTATTTTGTTAGTGTTTGGGTGTTTCTGTGTTTCGGCTTGTGTTTGAGTTTGTTTGTTTGGCTGTGTTTGAGCTCTGGTCAGGTTGAGTTTGGCTATGTTGAGTTCTGTGTTTTGAGTTTGACGTGTTTGAGTTTGGGTGTGTTGAGTTTGTTTTGTGTTTGAGTCTGTCAGTTGAGTTTGTTTGTGTTTGAGTTTGGCTGTGTGTGAGTTTGTTTGTGTTTGAGCTTGCGTGTTGAGTTTGGCTGGTGTTGAGTTTGTTTGTGTTTGAGCTCAGCTGGTGTGGTTGGTTTGGTGTGTTGAGTTTAGTTTGTGCTTGGAGCTTGGCTGTGCTGAGCTTGGGTGTGTTGAGTTTGGCTGTGCTTGAGCTTGGCTGTGTTGAGTTTGTTTGGTGTTTGAGTTTGGCTGTGTTGAGTTTGCGTTGAGTTTGTTTGTGTTTGAGTTTGGCTGTGTTGAGTTTGTTTGTGTTTGGTTTGGCTGTGTTGAGTTTGGCTGTGTTGAGTTTGTTTGTGTTTGAGTTTGGCTGTGTTGAGTTTGGCTGTGTTGAGTTTGGCTGTTGAGCTTGTTTGTGTTTGAGTTTGGCTGTGAGTTTGTTTGTGTTTGAGTTTGCTGGTGAGTTTGTTTGTGTTTCGGGTTTGCTGTGTTGAGTTTGTTTGTGTTTGAGTTTGGGTGTGTTGAGTTTGGCTGTGTTTGTGTTTTAGCTGTGTTGGTTTGTTTGTGTTTGAGTTTGGCTGTGTTGAGTTGTTTGTGTTTGAGTTTGGCTGTGTTGAGTTTGTTTTGTGTTTGGGTTTGGCTGTGTTGAGTTTGTTTGTGTTTGAGTTTGCTGTGTTTGAGTTGTTTGTGTTTGAGTTTGGCTGTGTTGGAGTTTGTTTGTGTTTGAGTTTGGCTGTGTTGAGTTTGTTTGTGTTTGAGTTTGGCTGTGTTGAGTTTGGTGTGTTGAGTTTGTTTGTGTTTGAGTTTGGCTGTGTTTGAGTTTGGGTGTGTTGAGTTTGTTTGTGTTTGAGTTTGGCTGTGTTGAGTTTGTTTGTGTTTGAGTTTGGCTGTGTTGGGTTTGTTTGTGTTTGAGTTTGGCTGTGTTGAGTTTGTTTGTGTTTGAGTTTGGCTGTGTTGAGTTTGTTTGTGTTTGAGTTTGGCTATGTTGAGTTTGTTTGTGTTTGAGTTTGGCTGTGTTGAGTTTGTTTGTGTTTGAGTTTGGGTGTGTTGAGTTTATCTGTGTTTGTGTTTGTATGTGTTAGTGTTAACTATTAATATTATTGGGTTAACTGATAATTAATTTAAAGGGGATAAACCTGCCCATAACCGGGGCGCCCCACTGGTCGTGTTAAACCGCATGACTATACCACCAAAACAAACTTCCCTCACACGGAATACATCTATTGTCTAGACCAGTAAAGGTGTTAGACATTGGACTGACTCAACGCTGCCGAAATTATTAAAAAGAAAACAAATAATTAATTAATGCCATATCATTATTATTATTATTCTTATTATTATTATATTATTATTATTATTATTATTTATTATTATTATTATTTTATACGTTTTACTCCTCAGTGGGACCTGAGCTGACAGCGAGTTTCTGCCAACACTAGGACTTGTTGTTGGGCACCAGTGGTCTGGTGGGTAACTACATTTTCGCTACATCCAGGACGGGTAAGTGAGAGGGAGGAGACGGGGGTGTGGGTTGGTGGTGGGGGGCAAGTGGTGAGGTATGTGGGGAGGGAGGGAGGGAGGGAGGGAGAGCCCATGGCAGGAGAGGTAGGGAGAATTGATGGCTGGGGAGAGAGGGAGGAGAGCCCATGGCAGGAGAGAGAGGTAGGTAGAGTTGATGGCTGGGGAGGGAGGGAGGGAGAGCCCATGGCAGGAGAGAGAGAGGTAGGGAGAGTTGATGGCTGGGAGGGAGAGATGGGGAGGGATGGAGGGAGGGAGAGTGCGTGGCAAGACAGAGAGACAGGTGGGGAGAGTAGATGGCTGAGAAGGGAGGGGGGAAGAGTGGGTAGATAGGGAGAGAGGGAGGAGGTAGGTTTTGATTTTTATTTTTGCCGCATACAGCGGCTACTTTATTGTGCACCCCACACTCATCCTGTGAGCGGTAGCACAAAAGGATTATAGAGTAGAGTTTACAACGGGTCATAATAATTAACCCCCGTTGTCAGGATATTATGGCACTGAATGTTACACAGTATTTCAATACATTATTTGTTTAGTTCTATACATAAAGGGTAACTTATTCACAAATGCGTGAGAACAGGCGTGTGAGGCAGTATGTCTGGCCGCACACTTTGTTATTCACATTTACGTGGGAGGTATTCAAGCACATTGCGTATTTGGTTCTGCATGAGAACTGATATAGTTACTAAGTGCAAAAAGTGGATACAATCTTAATATGTCGGCTATCTTGCCATTAGAGATGAAGTGTTGCCATTTCACAGGTGTTCTTGGACCTGTCCCTAAAGGTTCTATCTTCACACAGTCGAGGACGTGGTAGGTGGGGTGGGGAAGGTGGGTACAAGACTAGGGAGAGGTAGGTAGGAAGAGTGGATGGCTGGGGAGGGGTGGGGAGCGAAAAGGTGAAAGAGAAGGGAGGAAAGGGAGAGAGCAGAGAAATGGAAAAGTGGGGTAGAGACAGAGAGAGATAACAACTGGAAGGCATTAATACCCAGAGAAAACAAACACACACACACACACACACTCTAACACCATAATGGCTGCCCTTCATGTAACGAGGATGGCCGGCCCAAGGGCCACCAAGGCGTGAATTAGTTTAAGGTAGGCTGTCGCCAACACAACACCCACACCTTAAGTGCTGAGTTGCATGACCCAGTGTTTAAGGTGTAGAAGCTGTCGCCAACACAACAACCACACCTAAGTTATCGAGTTGCATGACCCAGTGTTTAAGTGTGCTGTAACACAACAACCACACCTAAGTTATCGAGTTGCATGACCCAGTGTTTAAGGTGTAGAGCTGTCGCCAACACAACAACCACACCTTAAGTTAACGAGCTGCATGACCCAGTGTTTAAGGTGAGAAGCTGTCGCCAACACAACACCCACACCCTAAGTTAACGAGCTGCATGACCCCGTGTTTAAGGTGTAGAAGCTGTCTCCAACACCAACTAAGTTAACGAGCTGCATGACCCAGTGTTTAAGGTGTAGAAGCTGTCGCCACACAACACCCACACCCTAAGTTAACGAGCTGCATGACCCAGTGTTTTAGGTGTAGAAGCTGTCTCCAACACAACAACCACACCTAGTTAACGAGCTGCATGACCCAGTGTTTAGGTGTAGAATGTAGACAACACAACAACACACCTAGCTAACGAGCTGCATGACCCAGTGTTTAAGGTTGAAGCTGTCACCAACACAACAACCATACCCTAAGTTAACGAGCTGCATGACCCAGTGTTTAGGTGTAGAAGCTGTCTCAACACAACAACCACACCCCTAAGTTAACGAGCTGCATGACCCAGTGTTTAAGGTGTAGAAGCTGTCACCAACACAACAACCACACCCTGAGTTAACGAGCTGCATGACCCAGTGTTTAGGTAGTAGAAGCTGTCTCAACACAACAACCATACCCTAAGTTAACGAGCTGCATGACCCAGTGTTTAAGGTGTAGAAGCTGTCTCCAACACAACAACCACACCCTAAGTTAACGAGCTGCATGACCCAGTGTTTAAGGTGTAGAAACTGTCTCCAACACAACAACCACACCGTAAGTTAATGAGCTGCATGATGTTTAAGGTGTAGAAGCTGTCTCCAACACAACACACCCTAAGTTAGCTGCATGACCCAGTGTTTAAGGTGTGAAACTGTCTCCAACACAACAACCACACCCTAAGTTAACGAGCTGCATGACCCAGTGTTTAAGGTGTAGAAGCTGTCTCCAACACAACAACCACTCTAAGTTAACGAGCTGCATGACCCAGTGTTTAAGGTGTAGAAGCTGTCGCCAACACAACACACACCCTAAGTTAACGAGCTGCATGACCCAGTGTTTAAGGTGTAGAAGCTGTCTCCAACACAACCACACCCTAAGTTAACGAGCTGCATGACCCAGTGTTTAAGGTGTAGAAGCTTCTCCCCAACACACACCCCTAGGTTAACGAGCTGCATGACCCAGTGTTTAAGGTGTGAAGCTGTCACCAACACAACAACCACACCCTAAGTTAACGAGCTGCATGACCCAGTGTTTTAGGTGTAGAAGCTGTCACCAACACAACAACCACACCCTAAGTTAAGAGCTGCATGACCCAGTGTTTTGGGTAGAAGCTGTAGACAACACAACAACCACACCCTAAGTTAACGGGTTGTATGACCCAGTGTTTAGGTGTAGAAGCTGTGGACAACACAACAACCACACCTAAGTTAACGAGTTGTATGACCCAGTGTTTAAGGTGTAGAAGCTGTCACAACACAACAACCACACCCCTAAGTTAACGAGCTGCATGACCCAGTGTTTAAGGTGTAGAAGCTGTAGACAACACAACAACCACCCTAAGTTAACGAGCTGCATGACCCAGTGTTTAAGGTGTAGAAGCTGTCACCAACACAGCAACCACACCCTGAGCATGAGTGTTTGTGGTGAAACAACACCCTAAGTTAACGAGCTGCATGACCCAGTGTTTAAGGTGTAGAAGCTGTAGACAACACACACACCCTAAGTTGACTGATGACCCAGTGTTTGGTGAGTGTAAACACAACAACCACACCTGAGTCAGGAGACATGTTAGTGTAGCACCGAGTCCGGTCCGCTGCTGAGCGAGCACGCTGTCCATTACACCACACACACACGGGCAGGATGAGTCACAACAGGTATATCCATCCAATTAAGGTTAGATTATATTTGATGATAGACAATTATACTTGATGGTGGCCTTAATGCGTCGCCTCACCCTAATGGATCTTCATGCAGGTGTTAATTAGTTCCCGTAGGCAAACTTGAGCTGTAGGTAAAATATCCACCCACCTGTTTTGTTTGTGGTGGTGGTTGTTGTGATGGTGGTAGTCGTTATTGTTGTGGTTGTTGTTGTCATGGTTGTTTTTGTGATGATTACTGCTGTTGTGGTTGTTGTTGTCATAGCTGTTTGGATGGTAATACTGTTATTGTTGTTGTTGTGGTGTTTGTTGTTGTAGTAGTGGTGGTTGTTGGCGGAATGTTTGTTGTAATACAGTATTATAGCAGGACTTTATTACACATTATATCTACCGTATCACTCTACTAACGTGGCAGAGTGTATTTCTTGTGTTTACCCAGAACCGTCAACTCGTCCATTACGACCCCAGAATATCTTAATCCAGGTAAAAAGTCACAGGTAAAAAAGTCACAGAAAAAAAGAAAAGTTAACTATCGAATTCTCACATTTTTTAAGGTTAATATGTCAGTCAGTTTCAGTAAAGGAATATGCAGAACTGATGGTAAATTAACCTACCCTAACCTAACCTAACCTAACCTTTATTACCGGTCACCATAAATTAATTGTGACTTTTTTTCCTAGCCAAAATTGTGACTTTTTTCTGTGACTTTTTTCCCTGTGACTTTATTACCGGCCACCGAATATCTACTTGTGTTGGGAATGTTTGTCAGCCTCTCAGCGACCTGTTACGGCCCTGCTTATACACTTTCTGTCTTGTCTCGTGTCGCCAGCGTTGACACATGCGGTGATTGGTTGAAAATAAAGTTGGTGAAGTTATCAGTAATTATGATCATGAATGTAGGGTGAAAGATCATGTCTAGTTACTTGGTCAGTAATATGATGATTGTAGGATGATGAAAGAGCTTGATAGTGACATCATGAGTACAGTAATACTTTACTTTTATCCTCTTCACCACTGACCGACTCTTTAGCTGCTTGGGCGATCGGTCACTTCTCTGTTACACACTGTTGGCAAGTATTGGACATGCACTCGCTCCCGAATGTACTATCGTGGACAAAAGTTCCCTCCTTCCCAAACTGAAGCAGTATCGACCCACACAGCACACCCGCACCAGATAATTAATCTGGGTAAGTCAGTTCGGAGACTCATTCCCGTGTCTCCGTTTCACTAAGGCGAACTTTTGTCCACGATAGTACCTGAACCTGCTCCAGTGTTGGTCAAGTCTGGTCTTGAAACAGCCGTCACAACACTCTCTGGCAGGTTGTTCCAAGAGTTCACAATTCTCACCCGAAAAGTTTGTGACGGCATCAATAATTAGGATCAGCAATTGGGTGATAGAGATCAAACGCAGAAAAAGAGTGGGATCACCTGAAGAATTGTCACCCCAGAGTTTGGCAGGGTGACAATTCTTCAAGTGAATATCCTGGGGTGATGAATCTTCAGGTGGCAACACCTGGGGTGACAATTCTTCAGGTGGGGTCAGGACCCTCCATGGTTGGGTGAAGTTAGGTTTATATTATTCTTATTTTTCTTTTAACTTTTCACAATAAAGATGCACAACACAATGGAATATATTTATGTTATCCTAATTATACAAATTATATTCACTGTGGGCTGGGGTGATTATTCTTCAGGTGGAGCAGGCTGGGGTGACAATTCTTCAGGTGGAATAACCTGGGGTGATGATTCTTCAGGTGATCCAAACATTGTTTTGTTATGTGATTATATGTGTAACATGACGCCAATAGGCTGAATAAGGCCTTGTCTACTTTGGCACAACTGAAATTTGTGGTTTTCTGATTCTGTACCGGACAGCTGGCAACTCAACTATTTTTTTTCACATCAAGTTTTATTACAATAAATATGTGGTTCCCACTTCTTGATTGTTTTGACTGCTAATTAGTCCCTTCAGTACTATGCTTTCTTATCTATTTTATTCTGGCTACCGCCACACAATTTTATTCACTCGGGGAAGTTCCATCTCGTACTCTAGGGGTTAAATAACTTCGCTGCTTCTACAACATTTATATTAAAACATATTCATAATCTATTTGCTTATAAATGCCTCCTTTTTGTAGACACCTTACTTAGAAGATGAGTTCTTCCCCCTGTCGTCCTATTATAATTTTATTATTTTCATCTGGCCTGCTCTAAACGATAGCATTCAGCTGAGGAAACCCCGTTGGTATTATCAAAGCGTTATTCTACAATGTAATCTTCCCCAACCGACTTTCCCCTCCTCACCCCCAGTCCTACTTCTCCCCTCACAGAAAGACACTTACCCCGACATACCCTCTACAAATAATGTAATTGAAATACTGTGTAACATTCAGTGCCATAATATCCTGACAACGGGGGTTAATTATTATGACCCGTTGTAAACTCTACTCTGTAATCCTTTTGCGCTACCGCTCACAGGATGAGTGTGGGGTGCACAATAAATAAGCCACTGCAAGCGGCAAAATAAAAAATCAAGCCCTCTCCTCTCCCTCCTGCTCACTAGAGAATGCTTCGAATTTACACTTCAGAGTTGAGGGGGTTCACACCTCAGGGAAAGAGAGGATTGGCAACGTTAATTGGTAAACACAAGAGTGGAGCCAACTGTCAGCCAGCCTTCTACATCTATCTGCTTATCTATACTTGTCGTCCCCAGGTGTGGGCGTCGACCTGCTTTCTTCATCTACCTGGTGATCGAGTGTGCCTTTGGGATAGCCACGGCCTTCACGCCCTCCTTCACCTGGTGGATGGTGTGTCGTGTGGGCGTGGGCTTCACCGTGCCAGCCATCATGTCCACGCCCATGGTCTTAGGTCAGCTCTGTGTGTGTGTGTGTGTGTGTGTGTGTGTGACGAAAACCAAATAAAACTATATTATTCCAAGTTAATTTCCTTAACTCAAATTGTTATACTTATTGTGTTGTTGTTGGTAGCCATCGAGCTGGTGGGACCTACCAAGAGGACCTACACGACGGTGATCATAAACGTGGCTTACTCCTGCACCCTCATCATGCTGGCAGGAGTGGCTTATCTGGTGAGTTGGGCCCAGCTTGCCCTTGCCACCACCATCCCCTTCCTCGCCTTCTTTTTCTTCTGGTGGTAAGTGTTTGTCTTTTGGTGGTTGATACTGACGTTTTTTATCGTGTGTCTTGTTCGTATTATGAAGAGACTCAACCTAGCCTGACTTAATCACTACCATCAGTGAGTGTGCTTTTCTGTGACCAGGTAGAATCAGTCTTTTTACTGCTGGTAACTAGTTCACCGTTTTTATTAATGTGTTTGTTTCCTTCTGTTTATAGTGGGGATCAAGAAGTCTTTGTTAGTGGTGATGAATTCATGTTACTTCATTTAACTATCATATTCTTGTTAGTTTATATTAGCTTAGCTTAGCTGAAGTTACAGTAGAAAAAGTTTATACCGAAACATTTTAAACTTGTCTTGTCTTTCCTCCTCCTATAGGGTGTTGCCGGAATCCCCTCGATGGCTGCTAGCAAATGGCCGACTCCCAGAAGCAGAGAAGATCATGAAGAAGATGGCCAGAGTCAATGGCAAGACACTGTCCCCTGACTACATGGCCAATCTTAGGGTAAATTAATAGTATTTACCTCCAGACTTAGGAAGTAGTTAAGCTAAGCTCCTCCCCGACTTACGACGGGGTTAGGGACCCAAATCCAGGTCGTAAATCAAAAATGCTTAAATAATACATAGAAAATCTAAAATGGGTGTCTCTTTTTCTTCTCAGCACCACAAAACTCTCACTTTTAAGCTTGCCAGTCATTTTAAAGTGAATTACAAACGAAAATTTTGTCAGTACGCAGCGCAATCACTGACGTTGGGACTCGAAAATACGTAATTTTACACAATTTTGGTACGACTGAGGCAGTCTTATGTCCGGGTAGTCGTAAGTCGAGTAGGTCGTAAGTCGGGGAGGAGCTGTAAATTGGTTTGTTGTCAGACCAAGTAGCTGGGATAAATGTCTGCAAGAGTTAGAATAATTTATTTGTATGATTGTTAAAAAATATCACTTAGTATAATTTTTATATACTGTACCCTAATACAATGTTAAGTGCTAATTTTTGTACAAGGTAAAAGTGGTTTTATGTTGTTATGCCATCATGGATATGGAAGAGGCAGATAGTGTTGCCATTGTCTGTCTGTCCATAAGTACACAGCAAATTGACTTATTTTATGAGATAATGGCACTTTAGTCTCCTTTAAATAATTCTTGATTTATCCTTTACTGGATGTCATTCTGTATATCAATCTCACCTAAATAGTTCTTTTTTTTTTAAATTTAACTTCAAGTTTAACTTTTACAGCGGAAGTTCGAGGTGGAAAAGTACATGTCTGGGAAGGAGGATGAGAAGATTCAACAATCATATGGTGTTCTCGATCTCTTCAAGACCCCCAACCTGTGCCGCAAGACTCTCATTATCACCTTCATCTGGTATGTTAGGTTTTCCAGTATTTTCTTACACTATCTCATTATCACCTTCAGCTTGGATTGGTAGACCATTCCAAATGTCTACTACCCTGTGTGCAAAGAAGTATTTCCTTATGTTCGTTCTGCATGATAACTTGGTGAGTTTGCTATGTGGTTATGTCCCCTCGTGTTGTTGGTGCATGACATCACAAAAAAAATAAATATCCCAGGTTCACGTATTCCATCCCTTCATAATTTAGAGCGTTTCAGTGAGATATGCCCCACTGTATCTTGTCTGAAGGGTTGTTAGTCCTATGGAGGCCCAGAGATGGGGTCAATTCATTTTTGTCAATTCAGTTTCATTCGTAAAAAAAATCTTCAATTCCAATTCAATTAAATTCATTATGGACGATATTTCATTCAATTCAATTCAAATGCTTTTCAATTCAAAATCAATTCTAATCTACCATTAATCTAACAGAAAGAAATAAAAATTCGAGGTTTCAAATTAACTTTTTTTTATCAACAATGCTCTACCATACAAACCAATCACATTCTTTACCAACCAAAAGTTCAAATGGTTTAATTCTTTGTATTAATAAACAAAATATGAATGCGTCCAAGTTACTGATGATTACATCTGATCATCATAAGTTGCTCAAATCTTTTATCGCTTAAATTGCATCTCTCTGGCCTGAAGAGCTTGCCAGCAATGGCGAACAGTCGATCCACAGGAGCCGATGTAGCAGGAATGGCCAGGTACTTTGCTGCAAGCCTGGTGAGGACAGGAAACTCAGGCTGCTTGGCCCTCCAGTAGCCAAGGGGATCACCATCTTCCTGTAGACATGGCTGATTGAGGCAAAGTGAGACCTCAGTTTCTGATGGAGTTGATCTTGGTGTAGAAAACCAGTTGGCCAGGGCAAAGAACTTGTTCCTCTTCATCATTGGTGGTTCAGCAGGGGAAGTATCTGTTGTTGTAGGATCAACACTGCGTGCCATATTGTATTTCACAGTCAGAAGGTCACGAATGTCTTGCACTTCATTGTCATAGTCATGACAGTATAATATATCCCCAACATGTTGGTAGTGATATTGGCACACTCAGGTGTGATCGCATCTTTTAGATCACGTATGGTTCTGGGTCGATCAGCATAGACAAGTGACTTGAGATGACCCCACAAGAAAAAGTCAAGAGGCATAAGATCCGGAGACCTAGGTCCAGGTCATTCAGCGGGCCCTCACCGTCTGATCCACTTGCCTGGGAATGTTTCATCTTAGAAGCTCTGGACGATGATTGCAAACTGTGGTGGTGTACCCTCATGCTGAAACCACATCTTCATCCATTCTGCCAGTGGAACTTCATCCAATTTGGGAATGAGAAATGTTTGCAACATATTAAGACATAAACATATTGACATCGAAAAAGTATGGACCTCTCAACCGATCCCCCCAGAGCGCAGCACACCAAAATTCGTGGATCAAATTGCACCTGACCTTCCTCCATCCCTTGGGGGTTCTCACAGGCCCAATAGCATGCATTATGCCTGTTGACATGACCACTCTAGTGAAATACTGCTTCATCGCTGAACATGATGCGTTGTTGAAGCCATCCATGATGTAAAAACCTCTGGTAGTATTCCACACAACGGTCTGTGTCGTCATGGTGCAGTTCCTGGACGAGGTGGATGTTGTATGGGTGGGAATGGTTTGCTATAAGAATGCATTGAATGGACCTTGTTGAGACACGTTTTCTGGGATAACTTTCCTAAGGACTTAAGTGGACAGTTTACGATGTTGTCAAGAACCATATCTTTTGTTTGTGCATCTGTTGCAGTTTTTGGCTGGCCACTTCCCGTTTGTTTGAAACGAGTGACCAATTTACCAATTGTTGACTGAGCACGCAACTGGTGGCCTCTCAGGGTGTTTTCATGTGGCAACCTGCACTTCGGCACCTCAGCTACCCTGAGAGATTGGAGCGCCTGAACTTGCCTGGCTTATACTACAGACGGGCAAGGGGCGACCTAATTGAGGTGTATAAGCATCTCAAGGGGCACTACTCAGTCGAGTGTCCTTACTTGGAGGAGCTGGCGGACGCTCGCCCCACAAGGGGTCACAGCTCAAGATTGAAGAAGCCGCAAATCCAGAAAACTGTGAGGGCAAATTTTTTTGGAGTGAGATTTGTGAACTCTTGGAACAATCTGCTAGAAAGTGTTGTGATGGCACCGAGTGTGAGCTCTTTCAAGACCAGGCTTGACCAACACTGAAGCAGGTTCAGGTACATTCCAGAGCCGATGCATGCCCAGTACTGTACTATACTTGCCAACAGTGCGTAACAGAGACGTGACCAATCACCCAAGCAGCTAACGAACCGATCAGTGGTGAAGAGTGTAAAAGTAAAAGTAAAAAGTAGGAACTGTGCAGTATGCTGGACCACACGATCCATGCATCAAAACTATCTCCACCCATTCAACTATTGTATCAATTTTCCTGCCATGGTCCCTGCCACTGAATAAGGCAGGGACCAGTTAACTCTCTGTAGTTTGTCTCTCATGAGTTGGTAATGCTTAAAGTTATAGTAATCCTTCTCAACTACTTTCTCTCGACTATCTTCAAGGATTGTATTCCATCTTAATGTGTAGTGGTTGCTGGTCAGAGTTAGTTTCTCCTGACGTGGACCTCGTCTATCATGCTTCCTCAGTCGCCAAGACTAAATCTAAAATATTGTCTCCGCTCGTGAGGAATGAAGCTTGAATGTGAAATCAAGGAATTCTTCTCCCTTGACTTATGTGGCAAGATTCACCCAGTCTATTGTCTCATAATTAAGTCTCTCATGATGAGGTCGTGTGCTCTTGATGCTCTCTGGATGACTCTGAAGATATGCTACTTCCTTCCCTAAGGTTGACTCAGCCCTTTAGCACACACCTATGTCAGCTTGCTTTTGTATTGAACTATCAAATAGCACCAAACTGACTCTAATGATCCCATTTCCATTTGCTCGTCATTACTGGTTACTATCAGGTACTCCTTGCCACATGGTAGTACACCACCACCTCTTGTTGCCCTGTCTCTTTTGTTTCGTGGGTGAATTCCCTGGTACGTACAAGTAAACAAAATTCACCTTGAGGCACATTCTCTACCCCGAGGACTCGCCAATTACAATGATATCTGGTTGTTTTGTGTCCACAAATGTGCCCAATACATCGGTTTTATTAAACAGGCATTTGTGTACCAACACTTGATTGGCCAGGTTTCTGTTTTTGTCCTCTTTGAAGACTCGGAGTCTACAGGGTTAGTAGAATCACTCATATACATTATCACCTGAGATTTTGTTCTCTTTGGGTTTGCAGTATTACTTAAAGCTATAGCATGCACTATGTTAACATTATTTACAATTAGTTCGCCTCTTATCCATACTATTGGGAGAGCTGCAACACTACTTCGACTTCTCCATCTTCCTGTACCCTGACGTATTGTATTGGCCTCTTCTGATCTTTAGTTGAGCATTCCCATATTGTGTCAGTGAGTATCTCTTTCAATTTGTCACTGAGGTCTTTGTCGTCTTTTTGTTGGTGAATTGTCAGGTCAGGTTATGTACAAATTACTATACTCTGGTACTCACTTGAGGTTCTGTGCCATCTTTAAGGTATACCTCTTGTGCTCGTGTTTTAGGGATGGTGATCGTCACTAACTGCACTGAGTTTATTAAGTCTTTCCACATTTCTTATGTGGAGAATGTAGGAGAATTATTACACATTGAAAGCTTATTATCTGTAAACTTAATAACAATATGAGTGTAAGAGAATAATGATGTAAATTAATGAAATAACTAAGCTTATTTTCATTATTAGTTGGGAAAAAATTACAAAAATAGTATTTTTCGTATTTTTGGATGTTTTGTTAAATTTGCTCTTGTACATATGTCTATTAGCTCCTGTCTAACAGACAGTAATACTTATATAAATGTGGGTTACATACATTAGGTTTATATAATTACATCACCCACAGTAACTTTCCTATGAGCCGTGAGTAGTCATCAAGTGGACATGTGACAGTGTATTCCCACTGTGCCCTCACACCTTGACCGCAGAGTCATCAATTAGGTAGCCGGCTATCGCTAGTTGTACTCCCGTCTCTGAGCCACTGAGACATGTGCTCTAAGATGTTAGATACACCCAAAGCTTCGTCCATTATTAACGCTCACGGCTCATAGCGTTAATTACGGTGATATCCCAATTATTGTGCATTAGTTTTTTCTTAATAAATGGACAAAAGACCATTTGGGCTTTGAAAAATTAACCCATAAACATTTATGAATATTGCTTCCAGTTCACCTCTATTTGGTGATTCCACGGGTAACCGGAAGCTGCAACAGATGCCCCAAGAATTACCCCCAGCTAGCTTAATAACATAGTGCACCTTCTTCCTTGTGTGACCTTTGTAATAAGTCTCCATCATTAGCAAAATTGCCAATAAGCCAACCAACATAACTCTCTACCAACAGGTTCACCAACACGTCTGTGTATGTGGGCCTGTCATATTATGCACCAGCTCTGGGCGGGGACCCCTACCTCAACTTCTTTCTGGCTGGTGTTGCTGAATTACCCACTTACCTATTCCTGTGGCCATCAATGGAGTACTGGGGTCGGAGATGGACCCTCTGCTTCTCCATGGTTGTAGGAGGCAGTGCTTGTGTTGCTACTGTTGTCACACAGAATGGTTAGTGGTAGCTAAAGAGAAGCTTATAAAATAGGTAAAGATGAGTATGCCTGGGTAAATAAGTATAGTGACTTGGAATAACAAATTTATAAAGAAAAGAGCCTTATGATAATTACTTCTTCTACACTAGTGTTGCTAAAATAACCTAACAGTGTTTTGTGGTATATGGTGATATGTTTACAGCTCAGATCTCTTTTGTCTGTTTGATGTGTTTATCTATAATAGAATACTGTACTGTGAAAATTGTGGTAGGAGCTGTTGATAATTAATGGAAAGAACATGATGGCAAAGTTTTCATATTTGAGAGGAGATGATTAACTTTTTTATTCCTATTTACATATTATTAGTCGTAGTACAGTATTACTTTTTTCATGCTGTGTATATTCATTGTTGCTCTCCATGAACTTTTGTCTCTAACAGACCCTTTGGTGACACTGATTCTCTACTGTGTGGGCAAGTTTGGCATCTCTTCCTCCTTTGTGGTACTTCCACTGATGGCCTCTGAGTTGTACCCAACAGTGGTGAGGGGGATGGGTTTGTCTGTGTCAGCAGTGGCAGGGATGATTGGCCCCATTGTCATCCCACTCATCAACTACTTGGTGAGAACTACCAATCAATGTAAATCTTCCCTGTGAGGAAAACCTTATCACATAATTGCTAAGTAAATTAGAAGAGGAAATATATTTGAAATGGCAGAGAAGGTGTTAATTGTGGAGGGGTGGTATTAGTAGGAGTTCTAATGGAAGAAAAATGGCATGATATTTCATTTTCCAGTACAGCAACGAAACTTTGCATGGTAGTAGCTGAAGTGATTGTAAGATGATTTAGGGCCGGAACCCAGCTGGACAATGCTGTTAATTGGTCCTAATTGGCCTTAATTGGTCATAATTAGCGCAAATCACTATCTCGGCAATTTTTTGAGCAAGATACTCCATTTTTAGGTCAATCGAAAGGAAATTGTCGGGTTAGTGGAGGTAGAACAGGTTAATTTTAAGCTATAACCAAAATTGCAAAAAAAATGTGACCGCACCCACTCATGACGCAGTATGTACAGCATGTGCGTCTAAGGCAAAGGCCCTAATGTAGTCGTGTTTGGTGTCTACTCTAGATTTTTGGGGGCACGAAAAAGCGATTTAGAGCACTAATTTTGAGCTACGATAAAAGAGAGAGTATGAAATGCAAAAATATGTTGCACGCCCATTTATGTTTAAGCGTAAATCTGCCTTTGTAGGTTCTGGATCATTACTTAGAGTAAAAGACCATTAATTCGAAGAAAAACGGTAAATGAAAACCATACATTAAATGTGGAGGGTACACTTGAACGGTAAACTTGGGTTGAAGACACTGATAAACTAAACAAGGTATGGGCAGGATAAGTTCTGTTTAATCCTGGGAGGTCTCCACTTGGAGAAAGTTATTAAACAGTGCCCGGGTTCCTATTCAACCACAGTGGATTGTCACTGGCTCTCACTGAATCTGGAGTTATGACAAGTTCTGGTCGTGCACGTCTAGAGGCGTCACATATAACCAAGACTTGCTATTATACCAAGCTGCAGCTGCATCTTTATTCAAGCTGATGAAAACAGAGCTCAAGTCATCCAACGCCCCAGAGTTTGAGCAATGGTCACAGGAACGTGCAGAGAACTATCCTAACTTCTAATACTGGTCGCAAGGCCTAGACCTCATACTCTATTTTCTGGTCTATATCCGATCCATCGAAAGTGAAGTATTTTCACCCTAAGAACTCCTACTATATGGGAAAAAGAGAGATTTGCTGAGATGATATGGACATTTTAAAAAGATGTAGTAGAAAATAATTGTGAAGATGGTGCATAGGGGCAGGTATGTTGGGCAGAGGGAAGCTGCCGATATCATGGGAGGTAAAGACGGAATAATTTATTACAGAGAAAGAAGGATAAATAGAGCGATGAAGGTGTGTACCTGGTAGTACAGTAATAGAGCGGCCTGGAAACTCTTCTGCCTCAGTCACCCTCTCAGGGGAAGCTCTCTCAAGGAGTGCATTTTCAGGGATACTTGAATACTGTATTTGAAGATTAAAACTCAATTATGCTTTTCTATAACATAGGCTTAGTTTTTGGAAAGTAACATGCTACAGTATGGATATATTTTTTAAAAGTTGTATTGTGTGTAGACTCGGTCAAAAAAACTACCGTTACAATTCCTGCGCGAAACAAACTGACTAAACGAAGTGTTTAAAAAAGGCCTACGAGGCATTCCTCGCATTGGTAGCCCTGCGTGTGTATGGGTTTGGCCACACGTGCTCGAAACAAGTGATCGGCACTCTGAAACGAAACCCAGTACAAGACTTTCCGGAATTATCGACCGTATGGTAAAATGTCGTTGGGCCGAATTCCATTATGACGGCATGCGAAACTGTGGAGCTATTCATATTTTTTGGAACAGCATGGTATAATGTGGCATTAGCCCAAAGTGAAGTAGCAATACAAATGCAGATTCAAAATTCGGTTGCAAATAATCTTATACCTTTACTATATCCACTAATTCTGCCAAACATTACTATATGGCAACTCATCCACTTCCATGGTTACTGTAGTCCACGGTGTGTGGAACATTTAAGAACATAAGAAAATAAGGAGTCTGCAATAGGCCGGTTGGCCTATGCATGGCAGCTCCTGTCGAGAGTTACTCCCACTCTCTATCATCCATGAATTTATCTAGCCTCCTTTTAAAACTTTCCAGCGTTCCAGCACTTACTACAAAGTTGCTAAGCTTGTTCCATTCGTCCACCACCCTATTTGTGAACCAGTTCCTTCCTATCTCCCTCCTAAACCTAAACTTATCCAACTTAAATCCGTTGCTAAGAGTCCTATCCTGCTCGGATATTATAAGAACTTTATCTATATCCCCTTTATTGATTCCTTTCACCCACTTAAATACTTCTATCATATCTCCCCGCACTCTTCGTCTTTCTAGGGAATGCAAGTTTAGTTTCTTTAACTTATCCTGATATGGAAGGTTTCTAAGTCCCGGAATCATTTTCGTCATTCTTCGCTGCACCGACTCCAGTGAATTGATATCCATTCTATAATAATGGCACCAGAACTGAACCTCATAATCGAGGTGCGGCCTGACTAGCACAAGATATAGTTGCAATAAGACCTCTGCACTCTTATTACTTACACTTCTAGATATAAACCCTAAAACTCTGTTTGCCTTATTTCGAACATTAACGCACTGTTTTCTAGGCCGTAGGTCCGGGCTTACAAGTACCCCTAAGTCTCTTCACAAGTCGACTTCTCTAGGTTGATGGTGTTAAGGCTGTATACATTGACAGTATTTGTTTTTCCAATATTAAGTACGCTGCACTTGCTGGTGTTGAATTTCATTTGCCATTTTTCTGACCACTCCTGCAGTTTATTTAAATCCTCCTGTAGTGCGTTTGCACCCTGCCCTGAATTAATTTACCGCCCTATTTTGGTGTCATCCTCAAACTTGCTTATGTCACTGCTGATCCCAATATTTAGATGATTTATGTAGATTATGAACAAGAGTGGGCCTAGTACTGACCCCTAGGGAACCCCACTGGTTACACAGCCCCACTCAGATTTAACAACATCTCCCAAATTAAGTACGAAGTGTCTCGCATTCAGGCTTACCAACCCTCGCGAGACAACGGGAATGTTCAGTTGGAAAATCATCGGACCCCACCTGTACGATAGTTTTTTTTACCGAGTGTACATTAGCCGGGGCCCGGACAAAAGCTCCCAAGGACAAAAGCCTCATAGGACAAAAGCCCCCTAGGACAAAAGCCCCTAGGACAAAAGCCCCTCAGTAAGAATGCAAAATAGGAGAGAAGGCTCCTGTTTTTATGTTAAAGAGAGGGTCATTAGAAATATTAAAAATATATACATTTAAAGATGAAATTATTACAATTTAAATAATTAGAATATTATAACTCTTTCAATTTTGATATAGAACATTATTAAATAAATAGAAAAGAAAAAAGACGACATATTTTACCTTCATGTTCATTCTGTATTTACTGAGGTGACCCTCGGGCCCAGTGAGGTCACTGAATGTCAGGGGAGTAACTACCCCAGTAGACAAAACATACGTCAGTGCAGATTTAATAAACATTCCTTGTATACTTCTTTATAACTATAACAGAATTCCCGAAGGTTAGGTAAGTTAGGTTAGGTTAGGTTAGGTTAGGTTAAGTTAAGTTAGGTTAGGTTAGGTTAGGTGAGGTGAGGTTACTTTTACTTTTATCCTCTTCGCCACTGATCGGCTTGTTAGCCGCTTGGGCGATCGGTCACGTCTCTGTCACGCACTGTTGGCAAATACTGGGCATGCACCGGCTCCTGAATGTACCTGAACCCGCTCCAGTGTTGGTCAAGTCTTGTCTTGAAAGAGCTCACACTCGGTGCCGTCACAACACTTTCTGGCAGATTGTTTCAAGAGTTTACAACCCTCACTCCGAAAAAGTTTGCCCTCACGGTTTTCTGGACTTGCGGCTTCTTCAATCTTGAGCTGTGACCCCTTGAGGGGCGAGCGTCCGCCAGCTCCAAGTAAGGACACTCAACTGAGTAGTGCCCCCTGAGATGCTTATACACCTCAACTAGGTCCCCCCTTGCCCGTCTGTAGTATAAGCTAGGCAAGTTCAGGCGCTCCAATCTCTCAGGTTAGGTTAGAGGAGTGTTCATAAACTGTAAAAGAATAAAATAATCAATTTAAAAATTCTTATTACTTCTTCTGGGGGACTTTTGTCCTGGGGGGCTTTTGTCCTTGGGGCTTTTGTCCTTTACTCACATTAGCCATACAGCATACTATATTATTGATGTACTCTGCCTCTATATTACTAATAAAATAGTCACTCAGAACTACATGTCATATACCGGTAGGCAGCTTAACTAATTTCACATCATAATACTTTCCTCATTTCTCAAAAAAATCTGAAAGGTAACTTTTCTTTGTTATAATATGTTCTGTATGCATGTTCTGTTTCTACTCTTTCAAAAGAATTGATGTACTCTTATTGTGTGACAAGATACATGAAATTGTCTTTTAATTCCAAATTTTCAGGCATCATCAACATTGAAAGTCTAACCTTAAAATACAATGCAGTACTGTAGTTGATTAGCCGTGAAAATACAGTTACGTGACACGGAAGGTATTTAATCCCAGAAATGGAGTTTATGCTAAGGTAATTGATGTTACAGTATGGTTAAAAATTATCACTCACCTTGATCAACAGGGTTCAGAGATGATGGTACTGCCACTGATCATCATGGGTGTACTCCTAAACCTTGGTGGGGTATTCTCCCTCCTGCTGCCAGAGACTCTTCACCAGCATCTCCCACAGACACTAGAAGAAGGCGAGGAGTTTGGTAAACACTGGACCCTATCTGATTATTGTACCTGTTGTCCTAAGAAGTAAGTATCATCTCTTCAAGTTACCATAACCAATTACAGTACGAACAAATGTCTCTTTCTAAGATTCCAACCAAACATATTCTTCATTATGGAACAAAATATTAACCTGTCTGGCTAGTGAACTCACCACGGATGAGGAAGATAAAGTAAAATACTTGTACTGTATGTGTTGCATCGTGGCAGCCTTTTTTATAAACTATTTTTTGTTCTTTTTGGGTGATAACCTTTAGGATATATTTGTTGTGAAAGTTTTAGAGATAACCCTTATGCTCAGTGTGATGTAGGTTTGAAAATTTGGTGAGTTTTTATAACCATTAAATGAAATGTTCACTATGTATATAAGACAATTAATACCCAGCTTGAATAGTGAGAGACCTAGTTATCATGAGAACCCTCGCTTTACACGCTTTACACGGTCAATTGAACCCGCTTTACACGGTCAATTGAACCCGGTCAATTGAACCCACGGAGGCCCGTGTAAAGCGAGAAACGCGTAAAGTGAACAACATAACATATGGGATTAAATGAAATAGAGACCGGCTGACCCCCAAACTCCACTTTTTCCAACACAATACCTATGTTCTAGTAAAAATAACATCTTAATTTTATGATGGTACATGCACACAATTAATACTTAAGAGAAATAGAGAAATACAGTCGCCAAGTTAATGTCCATTCAAATAATGGACTCAACTCCCTCCCCCTCTTCTCACACTCTCTGGCTCTTCCCTCCCTGAGAAATGTTTGGGGGAAAACCACTAGATTTTAAGGTATAGTAATAAATAATACCTCAAACTAAAGTTAGGATAATATAATTGACATTGCTGGATTCCTTGTAAGACCAGGAATATTTTGAATATAAATGTCATATATTTTGCACAAAAGATAACATATTTACTCAGAGTAAACAAAATACTTACATTAGATCTAAAATTTGTGTGTCTAATGCAAAATCTATGATGTTTATATTCAAAATGATCATCAAATTGTAAGAATTCCAGCAATGTAAATTATATTCTGGCCGGGTTATTTGTATGAATTTTATGAGCTAAAACAAATATCTTCAGTTAATAAAAAAAAAAATATTCTTCACGACACTCTGTCAATCAAAACACTCCACCTTGCCTCCCCCCTCTTCCAACCTCGCCAGATGGTCAGTTGGTCCCTCCTAACACTCCGTTTGTCCCGTTTGACAAGAATGGGTGTTTGGTTGTCGATATAAGGTTTTCGGTACATGTCGTGGGGTTGCCGTTTTTTTGTGCCGATGTAGGTGATTTGTGATTTGTTAGGGTTTCTTTGTATTCGCCAATCGAGCTTCCAGTGTGTGACCTGTCCGAGTTCACTGTGTGCTTTGTCTGTCAGATGGTCTAATCCTAGTTTGTGTCGGACTAATTCTATTTCCTTCGTCGGTGTAATGTATGGTCAATGAGTCGGTGTGTAAAGGGTCAGGAAGGTCATTTGTGCACAGTGTTGGGAAGAGGACTCTGTCCAACTTTTCTTACTCCTTGTATGCTCCTTTGTTCTGGCAAAAGTAGTTTTGTCACTAGGTTAGAGGTGCGTCCTTGATTGAGTGGTCTGCCCTGAATCAGAACTGCTTGTAGGACAGAAGTTCTTCATCTTCAAGGTGTTATCTGAGCATCTGTTGTATACTGTATAGCCTTTCATATGTTTTACCCAAGACCTCTAGTAGGCTGATCAATCTGTAGTTTTGTGGATCTTATACGACACCTTTACGTGAATATGTGGTATTTACACTTGATTCTACTATTTATACAATTTTCATTATTATCCATTGTTTTATATGCTTGGTGCCATTTGTCTTGATATTCAAAATAATTAGTGAAACGAAAAGTGGTGAATGTATTCTCTGAAAGCGTGAATTTGTTTTATTTCGACGGTAAATGTTCTTTATTTCAAATGTTTTTCCACTCATATCTTGAAAGTTAATGTTTTCAAGCAGTTATATCTTTACATACATTAAATTCAGCATTAAAGTGAGTCACAACTGGGTATCCTTCCTGTATATATGGATCTATTTGCGATATATCAATATTAATCAAACATTATATATAAGCCAATGAACTGCAAGGAAGTGCAAGAAGGTTGGAGTGGCCCATTACCGTCGGCTAAAAAACAAAAAGAAAGCAACAACTAGTAAGCTGACAAGTGGATAAATTATAGTAAAGTGAAATGAACTATTTGGGTCCTGATTAGGTGAGTGAGGTGGATCAAGCAGGTGGTCTGATGAATGACAGCCCCTGAATCCTGACTGGTAATAGTATAAAATATTATTATAAAAAGATATCTTTCCATGTGAACATACACAACTTCTAAAATTTTAAAAACAATGCTTAAAATACTAACGCTCTTATAATTACTTGCATCAAATCTTTAGTTTTCTGATCCTTCATAAAATATTGCAGGCCAAGTAGTATGAATGGTGTGGCAAAGAAAATGTCTGTCAACAACAGTATTCATGATGATGGCGAGTCCGAAAATGTAACTGGGGACGCAACCTACCCTGGTACGAGCCTCCTCTCATCACAACACTTCAAGGAACTCGAGGATAATGGGAGAGCAGGAAGAGGAGAAGGGCATGGGGAGGAATGTTCAGGAAGACCTCAGTCGAGAATATTGCTTGATGATTTCGACAACTCTAGTAATAGTATTGATGGTGGGAGTAGGAAACGTCGAGGAGGTTCATCTGCATATCCTAAGGGAGAGGATGGTGAGGTAGAGAAAACAGGGGAGGAACAAAATCTTGTCACCTCCAGCAGAAAAGTTACCATTGTTTAGTACAAAGAAAATAACAGCAGCTAATGTGAACTTTAATACAGATTGTGATGTACATTTATTAAAAGACCTAATGTGTGGTGTTTATTTGTACATTTGCTTTCTCTCGGACATGTTTATATTATTGGCCATTACACATTGGTGAATGAATTAATATATCATTCATATTGTATTTGATTCATTCTCATTGTTCATATTTACAAGGACTTGTAATAGGATAGTCCTATATTATGAGAAGTTCTACATATATAAGATATTATATAAGTAGAGTATACCGTATATAAACTCTAGAATTAGATACGAATTGTAAAATAATATACAGTACAGTATATTTTAATGTTCAAAATAAAAGTAATTGTAGATAACAACTGAATTGTGTAAATACTTCAGCCGTATTTTCTGCAGAGAATGTAGATCTGATAGTACTAGTCCCATTTGTCAGCACCACTCCACTATTAGAGTAGAGAAACTGTTCTTGTAGTCACTGATCTTTGTCCACATTCACATTATAACTCACCGTACACACCCTCCTGTTTCATCTTTTATCACTTTACGTTTAGAGAACATTACAGAGGCAGGGGTCTCTCAATGAGCCTCATTCAGAATTAAAGCACTTTTCAAGCATTGCATCCAGAAAACAAACTTATGTTCAGGGAATTAGAATGAACAGATCTATTTACTCCTCTTCAGGTGACAGAATAAACATATTGTTCATTGGTGAAAGAACAGTATTTTTGGTGACTGTGGAAAGGGCAATTTGTGGGCCTGGGGACAGCTCCCGTGTATGTCACTGTCCTTCCGTCTATTTTCTTGCTTTCATCATATTACTTTT